TGGGTTCGGGGTTTTGGGGTCACCTGGCAGAACAGCAGCCCCTGCAGCAGATGGGACAGGTGACTCTGGGGACAGCGATGGGGACATTGGGGACATCGTTTGGGACATTGGGGACATCGTTTGGGACATTGGGGACATCACTGGGGACATTGGGGACATCGTTTGGGACACTGGGGACATCCCCTGAGTGACCCCTGAGTGACCCAGGGGACCCCAATGACACAAGGTGCTTTAGGGTTCCCCCAATGTCCTCAAGAAGTTTTAGGCCCCCCCAGATGTTTTAGGGCCTCCCCAGATGTTTTAGGGCCCCCCCAGATGTTTTAGGGCCTCCCCAGATGTTTTAGGGCCCCCCCAGATGTTTTAGGGCCCCCCCAGATGTTTCGGGGTCCCACCTTGATGAGCGGCAGCGCGATCCCGCTGAGCGAGGAGGAGTCCATGAACTTCTTGAGGTCCTGGTGCAGGAACTCGAACACCAGGTACAGCTTGTTCTCCGTGTGGATGACATCCAGCAGCCTGGGGACACGGGGACAGCGTGGGGACAGGGACATGGGGACAGCGTGGGGACACGGGGACAGCTTGGGGACAGTGTGGGGACACGGGGACAGGGACATGGGGACAGCTTGGGGACAGTGTGGGGACAGCCTGGGACATGGGGACAGGGACACGGGGACAGGAACTCGAACACCAGGTACAGCTTGTTCTCTGTGTGGATGACATCCAGCAGCCTGGGGACATGGGGACAGCGTGGGGACAGTGTGGGGACAGCCTGGGGACACGGGGACAGGGACACGGGGACAGCCTGGGGACACGGGGACAGGGACATGGGGACAGCCTGGGGACAGGGACACGGGGACAAAGTCTGGGACACAGCCTGGGACACGGGGACAGCTTGGGGACAGGGACATGGGGACAGGGACACGGGGACAGCTTGGGGACACGGGGACAGGGACACGGGGACAGGGACACAGGGACAGGGACACAGGGACAAAGTCTGGGACACAGCCTGGGACACGGGGACAGCTTGGGGNGGGACACAGGGACAGGGACACAGGGACAAAGTCTGGGACACAGCCTGGGACACGGGGACAGCTTGGGGACAGGGACAGAGGGACAGGGACACTGGGACAGGAACTCGAACACCAGGTACAGCTTGTTCTCTGTGTGGATGACATCCAGCAGCCTGGGGACACGGGGACAGCTTGGGGACAGTGTGGGGACAGCCTGGGGACACGGGGACAGGGACACGGGGACAGCCTGGGGACAGCCTGGGGACATGGGGACAGGGACATGGGGACAGGGACACGGGGACAGCCTGGGGACAGCCTGGGGACACGGGGACAGGGACATGGGGACAGCCTGGGGACACGGGGACAGGGACATGGGGACAAAGTCTGGGACACAGCCTGGGACCACGGGGACAGCTTGGGGACAGTGTGGGGACAGCCCTGGGACATGGGGACAGGGACACAGGGACAGCCTGGGGACAGCCTGGGGACATGGGGACAGGGACACGGGGACAGGGACACGGGGACAGCGTGGGGACAGTGTGGGGACAGCCTGGGGACACGGGGACAGGGACATGGGGACAGTCTGGGGACACAGGGACAGCCTGGGGACAGCTTGGGGACATGGGGACAGCCTGGGGACAGGGACATGGGGACAGGGACACGGGGACAGGGACAGGGACACGGGGACAGGGACACAGGGACAAAGTCTGGGACACAGCCTGGGGACATGGGGACAGCTTGGGGACAGGGACAGAGGGACAGGGACACGGGGACACCACAGCCCCAGGGGTCCCATGGCCACAGGGACACCACAAAGCCCCCCCAGGACACTCCTGGGGACCCCTCCTCAGTGACATTCCCCCCCAGAACCCCCCAAAAGCCCACCAGGACCCTCCAGAGCCCCCCAAGACCCCCCGAGACACCCCCAGGACAATCC